CGCCTCATTATTAGAGGCTTGGAACCGGAACCGTAGTGCATATTCAAACTTATCCCCTTCCGGAGAATGACATATAACGCCTGCACCACAGCCGTTCACTGTAGAGCTACCGTCTACAAATAACTTCCAAACCCGATCAGGATTTTCCGGTTGCACCAGCCTAGTCATCTAGACAATGAAGTCGGCAAACGCCTGACCTTTCACTGCCCGCCTGGGCTCAAAAGTTATCTCGAGGCTCTGTATTTCAACAGCCCACTTGATCAATCTGCCGGATGACTCGATGGGGGTCATTGGGCGCTTGAGCGGCTGGTCTGTATATACAATCACCGGGTGAGCCAAAAAGTAGGGCTTTAACCGCTTGACTGCGACGAACAGGGCCGACCCAAATTTTTCGATCATGGGGTACCAGAGTTCAGCATTCTTAAGAACATGGCTGATGAAATACACCGGGAGCTGATTACCGTCTCTCTCAGCGAGGAGAACGACACTAAGGGCATGATCAGAGACGTCTAGATACATATAGAGGACCTCCCGGGGCAGGGGGCACACTAGCCTTGGCAACGAATGCAAATGTTGCTTTAGCTTCTGGAATGCTATTTCCGCCTCTTCACCCCACTCGAATCTGGACCTCTTCCAAATAGCTTGGAAGAAGTAGAGGCACTTGTCACCTGACCGACTGAGAAATCTTTCCAACGCCGCCAGGCAACCGGTCAATTTCTGGTCTTCTTTTACAGTGCGGGGAGAGCACATGTCAATGACCGCCTGTACTTTTTCTGGATTAGCCTCTATACCTCTTTGGTCGATCAAGAATCCGAGAAACTTCCCAGACTCAACACCGAATACACACGTCTTTGGGTTAAGCATGACCCGGTGCCGCCTGAGTGTGGTGAATGTTTCTCGGAGGTCCAGTAGGTGATCCGTCTGTAGCTTGGATTTGACTATCATGTCATTAATGTATGCCTCTATATTACTGCCAATCTGATTGATGTAAACGGTGTTTATCATGCGCTGGAATGTAGCCGGTGCATTCATTAACCCAAACGGCATCACCTTGTAACAAAATAACTCCTGATCAGTGACGAAGGTCGTCTTCTCTTGATCTTTTTCCATAGGGGTATTTGATGGAAACCTGAGTAGGCATCCATGAAACTCATCAGAGCATGACTGGCTGTAGAGTCGACCAGATTGTCGATCTTTGGAAGCGGGTAACTGTCCTTTGGGCATGCTCTGTTCAGATCGGTGTAATCTACATACATCCGCCAGGTACCATTCGGCTTTTTCACGAGGACAACGTTTGCTAACCAATCCGGGTAGTAGCATTGCCGGATGAACCCAGCATCCAACAATTTTTTGACCTCAGCCGTTGCCGCCTGAGATCTCTCTTCACCGTGATCCCTCTTTTTCTGCCTGACCGGCTTCTTTTTAGGGTCCACGGCAAGCTTGTGGACAGCTAGATCCGGGCTGACGCCTGGCATCTCTTCCACTTCAAAGGCAAAGATGTCTTTGAATTCTTTTAGGAGTTGGAGCAGGTCTGCTCCCAATCGTTCATAAGCAATCGTCCCAACCTTGACAGCTCTGTCAGGACGGCTGTCGTCGAGGACGACATCAATACAGTCATCAGCCGGCTGAGGTCGTTGGTCATCTGACCTTTCCCCGGCTAGTGATTGCTATTTTTCTTGCTTGACGGGATCCGTCTAGACCGCCTTTCTTTTCTTACCGATTACTCTTGGAGCCGGGACTGCGGTATCGCAGTTATCAAGATCTATGGGGTTGCCGTCTCCGGCTGCCCTTATAGTAGGTCTGACGTTAGAGAGATAACACTCCCTAGCCGTCCTCTGGTCCCCCTTAAGGGAACCGACTGTACCATCGTCTTTTTCAAATTTGACGAGCATGAGAGAGGGAACGATGACAGCCTTGGATTCGTTGAGGGTCGGACGACAAAAAAATCATGTTGTAGGCGGCCAACTCTTCTACAACCAGGAATTTTATCACCATGTGGCGTCCTTCCCCCTTTTCACCCGGCCGGATGGGAAGATCTATGCTCCCTACCGGATGCACTACACCTCCCCCAAAACCAACAAGCGGGTGGGGCGCCTGGTGCATGCTACTGGATTTGTACTTGAGCTTGGTCAAGCACTGATAACTGATTAGGTCAGACGAACTCCCGATATCTATTAGGATCCGGCCAACCCTCTGATTAGCAACCTTGCATTCGATGACTATGGGGTCATCGTGGGGCCGCCTGACCTTGCCTCGATCCTTTTCAGAAATAAGGACCTCAGGAAAGGTGTCTTTTGACGCCTGGCTCTTCTCAACTGAGTTGACCAGCTTCCTGATGTTATCTTTGGTGCCCCTGATAGTGGGACCCCCTCCGGCAAAGCCGCCTGCTATTGTGAAGATGGTCTCTTCATCCGTTTCTGAATTGGCAAGAACAAATTTTGCCGCCTGCCCTTTCTTGGCCAGGGTGTTACCCTTGGCTTTGGGCAAATAAGACGTCAGAGCCCCTTCATCAGCCAGACGGTCTAATAACCACCTGAGGCTATAGCAACCATTAGTGTCATGGCCAACATCCTCATGGTACTGGCAGTATTTGCTTTTGTCCCGGCTGGCTACGGGGCTTTTCATCACGGCCGGCTTGTCGAGAGACATCCGGTCCTTGATCTGCATGAGGATGGTGGAGCAGTCCTTTGTGAACTCGTATTTGGGAACGTACGGTTCAGATTTTCGTCTGAGCTTCTGAGCCGGCTGACCATATCAGTCTGCCGCCCAGACCTCATTTATCTTCTTTTCTTCCTTTTTAGCCGGCTGTTGTTGTTGTTGCCGGCTGTCTCTTCTGTCGGATTTTTTGAAATCCGACGGCTGCTTTACAGCACAAAGCTCCGTCGCCTGTATGTAGGCTTCAGCTTCCATTAACGCCTCTTGGAGGGTGGCTACCCTTTTCCGGACGAGAACTTGAAGGTTGACCCATCCTTCAGACCCTTAAAGAAGTCTGTGTAAGCAACTTCGTCAGACAGCCCTTGAATATGAATTCTCATCAGATTGAACCGCCTGACTACGACCGGAGCCCTTCTCTGTCACCCTGCTGTATTGCCCCCAGATCGAGGCTGGTCTTTTTGGCCGGGATGTTCATTGAGAAGTTCGACGTAAATAAGTACGCCAGGGTCTTGAAGCTGTTGATGCAGCCGGCTGGTGAGTTACCAAACCACCGTTGGGAAATCCCCTTCAAGGTAGCCGGGAAGCATCGGCACCAGATGGCATCATCCAACCCCTGTAGGTACATGAGGTTGGAATAAGCCATTAAATGATCTTCTGGGTTGGAGGTACCATCATAGGCCCCTACCAACACGTTTTTAATCTTAGCCAGCTGTGCCGCCTGGGTCATCTCAGGGGAGAACGCTGAGGGCTGCTCTCCCAAATTCAGCAGGCGCTGCTGCCAATCCAGGAGCTGGAAGAGCTGATGCATATTTCTGCCAAACGGACCCGTTTGGGTAAAAGGGGATCCTCCCAGCCCATTCGGCGAACCAAATAGACCAGGTTGGATCACTTGGGGTCCAGATCGGGCGGATGGTTCGCCCGTCTGACTCCCTAGACTTGTTCTCGTACGCCTGTTAGAGGTGTCACGAAAACTGAAAAGGTCGACATCGAAGCCGAGGAAGACGTCAGACTTCTCTTTTCTTGGAGAAATGTTCGGGCGTCAGAGAATATCTTTTTCGAACCATCCGGCTGCAAGTGCCGGATGGGTTTTCTGGGTTCCGCTTGCGGGAAGCGGAGCCGATTTTGATCGAACCGGAGGCCCTCCCCCTCCTTTGGCTTTGGATGAGGGGAAGGGACCCGGTCTTTGATTGCCTTCATGTTAGAAGGCTTCTTGGCCGACTGACTCTTCTTAGGAGTAGTTGACCGAATAAGGCTCTGGATTTCGCCTTTGAAACTATTCATGAAGGTCATGAGTTCGTTCCTTGTGACGGGAGCAGAGCCTTCTGCCGCCTGGGCGGCTCCAACCGGGTTTCCGGCGGGGTTTCTTGGAGTAAGTTGGATGTTATCCCGTTCCTTCTTATCCCTGGAACGGGTGTGCTTTGTTCTGAAGGACCCGTCTGGGGCCACATAGGTGTCGAGTCCGTAATCGTCACCGCTTTCATGGTCCGTCTGGACCTCAGGCTCGGCCGATGGCCGCTTGACCTGATCCAGTGGTACAGGGTTAGAAGCCATCTCAGAAGTACTCTCCCCACAGACGGCGCCAAATGTTTCGGGGTTTTCTGAGGTGTCTTGCGGGAGAGTTACAATTCCAAGAATGCCCTTCAACCGCCTGTACCTGCAAAACCACGAAGACTCCGGTTGGGTGGAGCTCCGCCTCCGACGATCAAGTCAGTGATGTACGGGAGGAAGAAGGTGCGTAAAAGAGTAATTACTTCTCGCGTAATGGGAGAATTCCGCAATTAATATTGCTCGGTTTTGGTGTAAGTGTATTTATGAATGTACTGAATGTAATTGCGCCCCCCATTAATGAGGATACTCCCACTATTTATAGTGGGGAGCATTGGTTCCCCATTTAGGGTTCCTAGGACACGTGTCAGCAGGGGATTGGAGCCCTGCTGACCAATAGCAAGGTGCCACGTGTCGCTCTGCCATTGGGCCACGTAGCTGGGGTAATTTTACCCCAAACAGTTTCCCTTGGGTGTGCTATCACTTTGTCAATAGTCTTAGCCGCCTATTTATGTAAGGACTGGTGGTGTAATCAATTTATGATGAACGAATGAACAATCAGCAGAATGAGCATACCTAAGTTTCAGTGTATAATTTATCGCTTTCAACATATTTTTGTCTTCATAGTATCGCTTTCTCAAAATCACAAATATTCTCTGCTATTATTGCTCTCTATATAAAGCTGAAATATTTTCTTCTTAAAACCTTCTAATCATAATTCCAACAACAACTATTGAACCTATTAGCCCTCTTTATCTTCACCCTTTAGATGGTCAAGCGTTGTTGGGATTGAGAAACTTATGGATTCTTCCAACTTCAGGTCATGGAAGAAATCCATGGAGATTGCTCTGGCTGGAAAAAGGAAGCTTGGGTTTGTAACAGGGTCACTGAAGAAAGACCACAATGATAAGGTCAAATCTGAGGCATGGGAAACTTACAGTAGCATGATTATATCATGGATTCTAGGGTCAGTATCAGACTCAATCAAACAATCTGTTATGTTTGTTAACAACTTATCTCAGATCTGGACTAAGCTTGAAAGGAGATTCTCTCTCACAAATGGGTCTAGGAAATACAAACTTAACAAAGATTTATATGAGACCAAGCAACAAGGAAAGAATATCAGTGAATACTATACCAGAATGAAAGCAATATGGAAAGAACTGGAATCTATCCATGTTCTTTCTGTAATCACTGACATCACTTCTGAGGTGAGTGCTTTCTTAACCAGTAAATGGAGGAACACAAGTTGTTCCAATTCTTAAATGGTCTCGATGATGATTATGGACCTCAAAGGAGTCAAGTACTCATGATGACTACCTTACCATCTGTAGAAACAACATGTTGCTATCTTGAACAAGAAGAATCTCAGAGATCTCTCTTTAACAACACTAAAGAAGAATATGAATCTTTAGTGATGTTTAGTAAGGGATCTGGATCACCTTCAGGGGGAGTTCCTTCAGGGGGAGGACCACCAGGAGGAGGTGGTTTTGGTAGAGGATCTGCACCATTCTCAGGAAATGGCTGCACAACTTGTGGGAAACCAAGTCACATGGTAGAACAGTGTTGGACACTTGTTGGGTACCCTAGTTGGGATCCAAAATACCAGCAGAAACTTGTTTCAGCATTTCAGAAAGGAAAAGGGAAGATAGCCTCTAGGAACAACAAGTGGGGAAACAGGAACAAGGGCAACAAAGTTGCAGCAAATGTGAGCAGCAATTAGAGTGAATTTGGTGGATCGAGCACTGGTTATGGAAACCAATTCACTGTTCAGCAGATTGAGGCTCTATTGAAAATGCTTCCAAAGCAATCTCTTGCTGACAATGACGATGAAACAAAACATATATAGCTATGCAGGTATGGTGTCATGTTATTTTGCTGAATCTATTGGAAATGAATGGATAATAGATTCCAGTGCCTCTGATCATATGACTGGTTATTTAATGCAATGCATGATGTTGTGAAAAGCAAAAATAACCCTCAAATCAACCTTCCTACTGGCCAAACTGCTAATATCTCTCACTTTGGCAATGTGAATCTAGGAAACAACTTGTCTTTGAAAAATGTATTGTATATTTCTAGTTTCAAGCATAATCTCATCTTTGTGAATAAACTGATGCATGATTCACATAGTAAGATATTATTCTATCCCAAATACTGCATCATACAAGACTTAGAGTCAAATAATGTAAAAGGGATAGGAAGGATGAGGAGTGGTCTGTATTACCTGGAAAATAGACCTATTGAGGCTGTTATCAGTCAGATAAAGACTCAAATTTCTGGAAATAAGAGAGTGATGGAATAAAGGCTATGAATGTCAGTGCATATAGAAATGTGCTTACAGTTGTGACTAATGTCCCAAAGTTGAGTCCAAGAACTTTGTGGCATCATAGATTGGGGCATGCTCCAATCCAGAGAATTGAGAAAATCCATGGGTTGAAAGGGTTAAAATAAGGAAGTGGTGAGATTTGCTTGACATGTCCTCTTGCAAAGTTCACAAAACTTCCCTATGCTTTGAGTGAGTCTAATAAAACAAATGAGCCATTTGAACTTATGCACATCGACACATGGGGTCCTCATATAGTGTTTACAAAGAGAAAGTATAAGTACTTTTCTAACCATTGTAGATGATCACTCAAGAATAACCTGGGTGAATCTCATGGTGTAAAAATCTGATGCATTCAAAGTTATTGAGAACTTTGTGAAAATGGTGGAAACTCAATATAGAAGAAGATTCTGAGGTTTGACAATGCTCCAGAATTCGAGGACCAAAAGTGCAAGCCTTTTTATGAGAAAATGAGGATAATTCATCAAACCTCATGTGTATGAAGACCTCAGCAAAATGGAAGAGCTGAGAGGAAACATAAGAACATACTGGAGATAGGTGGAGCTTTAAGATTTCAAGTAGGGCTTCCTTTAAAATACTGAGGTGATTGTATTCATGTTGCTGTGTACATTACCAACAGGTTACCTTCTGTTGTGCTAGGTGACAAAACTCCATATGAGGTTCTCAATGGCAAGAAACCAACATATGAAGAATTAAGAGCATTTGGGTGTCTTGCTATGGCAAGTAATCCAAGTATTTCTCATGACAAGCTTGATGCAAAAGGTATTCCCTGTATATTCATGGGATATCCAAGTAATCAGAAGGGTTACAAGCTAATCAGTTTGGTAAATGGTCAAGCTTTTGTATCAAGGGATGTGAAATTTATGAAGCATCTTCCCATATCATATCTTTCACACTGCTTCTGCAAAAAAAAGGAGAGAATTAGAACAGTGAGAAGAATTAGAGCTGGACTGATGATGTTAATGATAATGCTCATAGTAATTCTGAAAGTGAAGAAACAGATGAAGAAGAAATTGATACAGGTATTTCAGCAAGAGAAGAGCCAAACACAGAAGAAGTGAGAAGATCCTCTAGGCAAGCTAGAGCTCCAGCATGGCATAGAGACTATAAAGTAGGTGCTGCTACTATGAGCTATGCTAATGCTGTAAGAAAGGTTGCTAAAACACCTGCTAGTGCAAGATATTTTTGTATGATGGTATCTTACATCAAGGCGAACCTGATTTAATGCACTTCAAAGATGTTGTGAAGCATGATAGATGTGGCAGGAAGCAATGAATGAAGAATTGGAAGCTTTAGAGAGCAATAACACCTGGGAAATTACTGATCTTCCACATGAAAAGCATACAATTGGGTGTAAATGACTCTACACTACAAAGTACAATCCTAAGACAGGGAAGATTGAGAGACATAAATCGAGACTTGTTGTTCTAGGGAATAGACAGAAGGAAAGGATAGATTACAAAGAGACATTTGCACCTGTAGCAAAGATGTCAACTGTAAGATCTCTATTGGTAGTTGCTATAATGAAGGGATGGGAAGTTCATCAACTGAATGTGAAGAATGTTTTTCTTCATGGAGATCTTCAAGAAACAGTGTACATGAAGCTTCCACAGGGTTATCTTGGAAAAGGATTTAGGTTTGGACAAGAATTCACTGGTGAGAATGCTGCTAGTGAACCAGGAAAGGTGTGCAAGCTAATCAAGTCTTTATATGGTCTAAAGCAGGCCCCTAGACAGTGGTATGCCAAGCTAAGTTCTGCTTTGATAGAGAAAGGATATAAACAGTCCAAGGCTGATTACACTTTGTTCACTCAAAAGCATAAGAAAGGGTTCATAGCCATTCTTGTCTATGTTGATGATTTAATCATCACAGGAAGTAGCATGAACATGATTTCTGAAGCAAAGAAACTTGAAAAGTCAATTCAAGGTGAAAGATATATATGGGTGAGCTTAGATACTTTCTGGGAATTGAAGTTGACAGGACAGATGTTGAGATATTTCTATCTCAAATGAAGTATGTTTTAGACATACTTCAGGAATACAACATGAATGGGTGTAAACCACTCAGATTACCCATGGATGCTCATCACAAGCTCACACATACCTCTGGTAGTCCTTTGTCTCAACCTGAAAAACATCAGAGGTTGATTGGAAATCTGATATATCTCACTTTAACCAGACCAGACATTGCCTTTATAGTGCACTCTCTTAGCCAGTTCATGCATTCTCCAACCTCTGCTCATTATCAGGCTGCAATTAGAGTTTTAAGGTACTTGTCTGGGTCTAAGAATCAAGGTATTCTTCTTGCTGTTGATTCCGCTGCCAAGCTGAGAGCTTAATGTGATAGTGATTGGGCAAGCTGCCCTATCACAAGAAAATTTACTTCTGGTTTTTGTATCCTTCTAGGAAATTCACTTATATCCTGGAAAGTAAAGAAACATCCAGTTGAAGCTCAATCTAATACTGAAGCTGAATACAGGTCAATGGCTCTTACTATTTTTGTGAGGTCATGTGGCTTAAGCAACTCTTAAAGGACCTAGGTCTGAAATCTCTTGAGCACACTCCCTTATTATGTGATAATCAGGTAGCCTTAGCAATTGCTGCAAACCCAGTTCAACATGAGAGAACAAAGCATGTGGAGATGGATTTCCATTTCATCAGAGAGAAGGCAATTGATGAGACTGGTCTTCCTACCTATGTCAAGAGCTCAGAACAGCTTGCAAACCTATTCACTAAGGTGGTGTCCACAGAACAATATGCTCAGTTACTCAGCAAGCTGGGGGTTCAGGAATCTTCCTCTTGAAGGATGATGGTCACATATGACCATGTTTGCTCATTTCTTATTTTTGCTGATGTAGGATGTTTTTTCTCCTGTTTCTATTTTGCTAGCTGTTATTTTGTAAGTTTCCTAGGAAGTTTCCCTTGGCTGTGCTGTCACTTTGTCAGTGGTCTTAGCCGCCTATTTATTTAAGGACTAGTGGTGTAATCAGTTTATGATGAATGAATGAACAATCAGCAGAATGAGCAAACCTAAATTTCAGTGCGTAATTTATCGCTTTCAGCCTATTCTTGTCTTCAATTTGTTTGTTCTATTGAGTTTTCAGATGTTATAATTGACTATATTGTCAACTCAAGTAAATTCTATTCCATTAATATAGTCTCTCATGAAATTTACCTAACCAAAAGTTTTAATAATTCTAAATGGAGGCAAACAAACGAAGATATAATCTCTTCTACTCATATTTTCGTTAAAAAAAATAAATAATAATAAAAAATTTAAGACTCCACGAGTACTATGGTGGGTAGTAAGTACACTCTTTGAAGGTAGTAAGTACCCCTATAGTGGGTTTGAGTGTAGTAAGTGCCCCTATGATGAGCTTTATTCTAGTTTTTTTTTTTTTTTTTTTTTTTTTTTTTTTTTTTTTTATTTTTAGTATGGTACAAGTTTCATGGGTAAAGAGTTGTGTGGGATCGAGAAAGAAGTTAATCCTTCAATTACAATAAGATGAAATTTTTTTCACGACTACAACAGATTGATAGACCCCCTCATCGAAAAAGGCTGTTAATCACAACGATATGAAAGAGGGTATAAAGAATGTATGATTTGCAATAACGATCATAGCTTTGCTGAAAGTGTTTAGGGTAAAAATTACCCATGACAAATGGACCAATCCGGACCTGCCACGTGTCCACCACGTGGGCCAATCAGCGTCCGCCATTTGTCACCGTAAGAGGTCCAACATGGACTAATCAGGCCACGCCACGTGACCTCCCATATGCCAAATAGGCAAAATGGCCACCAAGGCCCAAAGTCCGAGAGAAGCCCAATTTGCCCTGGTTAACCTAAACCTAAAATTGGCACGCTTCTCAAGACTATAAATACTTAATTAATCCTCATTAAAGGGGATTCAACAGAATGACTCTCACCTAGAGAAAACAAAAACACATTGATCACTCCTCCCCTAGAGGAACCAGATCTCCCACCTTTACTTTCCGCATTTATCACTCCTCAAACAAGTACTAACTTGACCGTTGGAGGCGGAGCTCCCACCACAAGGAGTCTCCGTTGTTTTGCAGGTACAGGCGCAAGGATACCAGTCCCGGAATTGTAACTCTCCCGTAGGACATCAGAAAACCCCGAAACATTTTGGCGCCGTCTGTGGGGAGAGTACTTTCAAGATGGCATCACAGTCTGTACCGATTCTAAGTGACAAGCGTCCCATGGACGACCCCCTGGTTCAGTCGGACCAGGACACCGACAATGAAATCGATGTCGAGACTCACACGACCCCCGACGGGTCCCTTAGAGCTCGACGTACCCGTCCCACCGCCTGAGCATCAACAGGCGATCGAGGGGTCTGCTCCTGTTACCAGGAA